TAAAAACAATTTAAAAACAAATGTACCCTTCTAAATCTTTGTGGTCTGTACCAGGGGTCTCCAACCCCTGGTTTGTGGACCAGTATCAGTCCGCGGTATGCCAGAAACTGGGCCATGCAAACAAGTGAAGGCCTAAGCATGAAATGCGGGCAGCACACAAAACGATGCCCTTTCTAGTCTGTGGAAAAATCTCTTTCCATGAAACTACTCCCTGGTGCCCAAAAGGTCAGGGACCATTGGTCTACACCTAAACCTAACTTACAGATAACCAGGAACAACCATTCCCTTTCATTCCAAAATGCAAAGTATTATCTGCAAATTTACCCTTTTATTTTGACTGGGATACATTATACATTATTGTTTTTTGTTAAACAAGCATTAGTAAAATGAAGGAAAACCTGCTGCACACATTCTTGGCTCAGCGAAACAACTCTTCTTTCCACACTTGATATACTAAAGAAAGCCTGGGACAGCCAGGTCAAGCCAGGAAATTAAAAATCTGGAAGGATGCCACAGATGATTGACATTCTTACCTTGTATTTGCCCGAATTGCTTTAAATTTTGTGCAATACATAAGTGGAGACAACAAACAGGAAGGGCAACAGGTAGAAGATGCACAATCCTGCCCATTTCAGCATTTATATCACCTTTGTTCTTGTATGCTGGAGGAGGAGGAGGAGGAGGAGATAAGTGAACTGAAGTGGCTAGGAGAAGAATATTCCCACCTGTTTGTCAATACTGGTTAGTAAAAGGACTCTTGAGAAAACTCCCAGCCCCAAACCCCCAGATCATAAATCACAGAAACTTTCCATAGACCTACGGAAATGCCATGACTTGAGTCATTAAAAATGAACTGGCCTAACTGCATATTACATGACTGCAAAGTAAATTTGATATAAAAAAATGGAAGCATGCTGCAGCAGGGAAAGTTGTAATAACCATGTTTGCTTCATATATACTTTGATAGTCTACATGGATTAAAATAGTTATTTTTGAATTATATTTAAAGGTTGTTCTGATAAAGGTGTTTAAGCTTTCAAATTTAATGACCATTAATCCTTACTATTAGAAATGGAACTGAATCAATGCCCTGATAAACCGCTATGAAATAACATCTTATCACTTATTAGCAGTATGTTAATTTAAGTCCTTTAATGTAGATTATTATTTGCACAAAATCATACTGCTGTGGTTGGGAATTGTGTAGATTTAACTGCACTTATATCCCAAATAAATGTTATTACTTCCCTTAGAAGCATGACTTTTTATGGGATTTAATTGAAATCCCTAGGCTGACTTCACAAATATTTAGATCAGTCACTGCTCTTCTTCCTTTGATAAATCAAAGAGAAAAGCAACATCAATTGCAGTGGAATTGTTTTTAATTGATTCTCCTCTGGTCATTTCCTATATATATATATTAAGTAACTTGCCTCAGACTAGAAACCACAGTCCTACAAACCATTAGGTCTATGTACAATAAAACTCAAAATTATCTAAATAGCTTATTTTGGAATGAACATATGAACTGATCTTACTAAACTAATTTGCTACTTTATTTCAATTTGTACTATTCAGCTTTACTGGTAGATCAGGCATACAAAAATGGTGAAAGCTACCGAAAGCTAAATCGAAAAATATTATATAAACATATAGAAAATGTATAACCCTGAGTTTATGTAATAGATGTCAGATCCCAGTTATGAACAGGTATTTGAGGAGAAAAAAGATATAAGTTTTAAAATAGAAGTGACTGTGTGCAAATGTATTTATATGTTTATGAGTGAGCCCTGGTGGCACAGTGGTTAGAATCCAGTACTGCAGGCTACTTCTGCTGCCTGCAATTTGGCAATTCAAATCTCATCAGGCTCAAGGTTGATTCAGCCTTCCAATCTTCTGAAGTGGTTAAAATGAGAGCCCAAATTGTTGGGGGCAATATGCTTACTCTGTAAACCACTTAGGGCTGTAAAGTACCGTAAAGCGGTATATAAGTCTAAGTGCTACTGCTATATATTTGAAATGCATTGCCCATCTTCTCCTAATTTCTTGCCTTTCTGCCATTCTGCCATTCCCAAGTGACATTATAGCGCATGTGCACATACATACACACAATATTATTTTCTATATATATGCTATATTCTTTTCTCTTTTCTACCAGGAAACACGCCCACCTGTGATGACCCGTAGCGTCTCAAAAATAACACAAAAACTAAAACATGAATCAAGGTCTTGTAATGCCTTCAACTTAGCTTCGCTGTTTTATTAGTCACAGTTTAAATTCAAAAAGCAGATAACCAAAGCAAAAGGAAAGAAAAACAAACGGTATTGACAAGAGTTCCAAGGCAAACCAAGATAATTAATCACACATTCCAGGAAGATAACCGGGGAGAGTCCATGGGAAGAACGCCAACAAAGATAAACCTCATCCAAGGAAGGCACTAATTTGACTCCAGCATCTGTGAACACGCAGTTCCAAATTCTTATACAGAGCTCACAGCTGCAACCCATGAGGAGGATCATGGCCCTCTCCTCCCAAGTAGACCACGCTTTTCCCTGATCCTCTCCTCCCAGCGTGCCCTGGGATGGATAGAGAATGGGCCTAGATCCTCCTCTGATTGCTCAGATGGCCTCTGCCCTTCCCCAGCCTCCTCCACCACCTTTGGAGCCACACTTCCATTCCCTGTTGGCTGTTCTTCCTCTTCCTCAGTCAGTCTCCACCAGGGGCATGACACCCACCCCTATAGCTCTTACTCTCTCCAATAATACATTCAAGTAGCCAGTGCCAACAAGACTATAATAAACATGAAACCAATGACATACAAAAGAGAAATCATCACGTTGGGAAGGATAACCAAATATTTCCAGAAGTACAAATTATAAGGCAAATACTTCAACAACAAAAAAAAAAGGCAGCCCCTTTCCTCCCTGACTTGCAAACAAGGTATCAAATATCAGACTTTCATCACATGATACTAAATAAGTCTTAAGGGAAATATCTGAAGGATAAGCGATGAAAACAACCAGTTGAAAAGCATTCTACACTTGCAATCTTTGTGATAACTCCAATTTTTCTCTAATCCAAATTACACAATCCCAAACCCCAGAACCACACACAGCCCTGCAACAATTCTGCATGAAACTGAATGCCTCCGAAAATTGCTGCCAAATTGTGATTTTTTTTAAGGCGACAGAGGAAAATAATATATGCAATCATATCCAATGTACACCCACTTCATTTTACTATACCTTAAAGGTTTTGTTTTCTTTCCCTTGTTCTCGTCACTTCTTCAAGAACAACCTTCAGCATGCCAATTAAAGGACAACTATGATCCTAGACCTAAACAATCTACACACACCTGAAATGCAACCAAAATGGCCTCCTCAAAGAAATTTGAGACAACACCTAAGTAGAAGCGTTTGAATGATTACATTAAAATGAATGCATTTAATCTTTAAGGTCTTACAGAATCCATGTTTGGGTTACATTTGAAGGTGTTCCTTCATATATGGTAACTAGACCTTCAAAAAGTGTTTCCAATGCCAGAGGAAAAATGAAGATGCACTTTGCTGAGGCATATTTGGATAAAATCAATGATCTTCCCCATCCCTGTCAGGCAACAGGCTAATGAGGAAAAAGATTCCATCAGTGGACAATTATTCTTAACTATCATACTACTGCTGAATAGTGTTTTTTGGGGTAGGGAGAAGGGGGAGGGGCGTTAGAGGAATAGCACATAACCAAAAAGCTGTAGAAGGAAAAGGAAGTGGACTGCATTATATTCCTCAAAGAGCCAAATTTCTGAAAGCAATTTTGGCATCTTATTTGAAAAAGGAACAACAAAAGCCAGGAAACTTTACTTGGATTATTTGCCTGGAAAAAAAGACACTAATTAGGCCTTGATATTGTCACTTGGTAAAAAAAAATTAAGCAGAATATTTTCAGAATTTTTCAAATTCAGAAACCCCCTCCCGCCAGCTTTTAATGACTTTCCCATTTATGAGGAAAGTCAGGGATAGTCAATCTTGTGTCCTCCAGATTGTTGTTGGCCTGATTCTCATTAGCCCTAGGAAACAAAATCTAAAGTAAAAGACAGTGGGTGTAACACGAAATATTTGAAAAGAACATGCTTACCTATCCTGTATTAATCACAAGATTAATGTACTAATCATGGCTACCTTATCTAAAGGATGATAGATTACATTTACTTATTTCACTTAATCACAATTAGGTTCTGTGAAGAGGCTCTGCAATAGTTAGGTGAAGCAGCACTGTGAAAAGTCTGCACACTCACAGATTTACACACTTATGTAATCACGTCATTGTTCGTTTTTATTATTTCCCCCCTAAAAGATTTGTTTGCTTTTGAATTGAATTGTACAGCTCATATGTTATATTAAAGGTCAAAAAAATTCTCAAGTTCTTGGTCTGACTTTTTTTACATCTCAAAAACCTGGCATTTTAACAGGGGTGTATAGATTTTTTAGATCCACTGCAGAAGTCAGATGTTTGTCATTCCTAGTGATTTGCCCAAGATACCTCGCTTGCTGCTATTAGAAACAAATGCTGAATTCAGTCCAGAGGTGAGAAAGTTAGCTGGTTCCTCAAACGCTTTTGAACGTATCTCTCAACAGACCTGCCATAGCATGTGGTGGCTGCTGCTGATGGGAGCTGGTGTCCAACACTTAATGAGACTGAGTTTTCTCATCTTCAAAACAGGACAGGAATTTCAATCGCACAGAACTTGTGGGATTATAGTAAAGTGGCTTTAAGTGAGAATTTTCCTATGCTTCCTTTCCCAATGCATTTGGCTTAATTTCAGCTTCTAAGTACAAAGAGGCATGAACATCACTTTGAGGAGCTTGGCTTGCAATCTTGGAAAAGCAGCACAATTATATTGAAAATTATACTGCATGTAAAAAAAAGGGAGAAAATTTTGTGCTGTCAATTGATTTACCTGGCACATGGCTTCAGTGAAATTAGGGAGAGAAAAATAGCATAATAGTAGTAGCATATCTTATTGATTTAATAATAGGATTTATATCACATACACACAAACACACACAAACACACACACAGAGAGTTCTACACTCTTATCTTCTATGCCAGTGAAAATATGCATAATGATTTACAACTTTTTAAAAATGGTTAATCACTAAATGATGTAAGCAATTTGTATTACCCATCTAGAGATTTAAAAAAATGTGCCTCAGTAGAATCTGCTAAAAATCATCATATGTTCATGGCTGTGCTATGTTCTTTAGGTCCAAAGCCAATATGCTGACCACAGTCACAATCTGAAATAAAACTTACATCTTATGCCCAAGTAAGTGTGCACAGGACAGCAGCCTGTTGCATACTTAAGCAGAACAGAAATCAAACTACAGAATGGAATGCCAATAAACCATACAATTTTATCACAATGGGCAGCATTCATCCTTCCAAACTATACATAAATTCATCTACAAATATATTGCTCTAGCTACAAATTTTATTAAAAAAATAAATGAGCTATAATATTTCTTATACCATTCATTTTCCTGATTTTCACCCCCATCTGTCTTTGGAAAAATGAACGAATAAGGACGACTGTTCATCTTATGAGAGAAGAACAGAACATTTGAGGATTTTTGAACAAATTATATTAAGTCGTCTTCTGCTTTTATTTTCTTCGCCACTGGTTGACAGTCTTCAGCAGGCAAATCTTGTGCTTTCTGATTAGAAGTGCAATTTCCTGTTAAAGTGTTCACATTATTGTATAATTCTGCTGAGGGTGATGGGACTGATACACAAATTCTGGGAGAAGACACCATCACAGACTGCTCCTGGGATGCCAAGGGCACTGAAATTAATGGTGCTCTTGCAGCAAACAACTGTGCCAGATTCTCCAAGGCAACTGTCTGTCTGTCCATGGCATCTGCTATCCGCCTGGTAGACGTCTCTATGAGAGCAATCAGTTTGTCCACGTTTTGAGCAGCCTGATTTACATGATTGGCAAGTAGGGTAAATTCCTCCTTATGGGAATCGCATGCTCTACTCCGTGCAAGTTCAGAGGTTTCACTATGTTTTGAGTGCAAATCAGACAGAGCATGTACTAGTCTGTCACCCACTTGGGAAATGGCATCTACTATGTCTGAAGTAGATTGAGTTTGTTTCCGCTGTTTCCTATTCCAGTGGTTGTTGCTTATTCTGTCAGCATCAACCAGGGATGCCCTGGAAAAAGTGCCGGATGGGCCTACATTGAAAGAAAGGAACAGAAGTCATCAAGTGATCAAACACAACCCACATTTAGAATTCAGTAACATTTAATCTTGGGGCAAATCAAATTAGGAAAAAAAAAACCTCTGAACAGATGCAAACACTTCAATAAGTAAGCCATTATCAAAGCTTGTGCACTTAGGTCAGTGAATTTGATGCAATGTTAAATGATGTTTCCCTACCCACTTTAAAAAAAATAAGCACAGCTTCCCCTAATTTAGCCATCTTTCTGAAATTGGTGCTAACTCCTAATGTTCACCTGAACTGATGGAATGACCATCTCCTCTTGTATTAGGGAAACTAGGTGAAGCCACATCTCCCGCAAGAAGGCCATCTTCTCCATGCGCTTCCCATTCTTCACATGGAGACTGAGCATTTACAGGTTCAGAATCCATCTGTGCATCTTGAAAATAGCCATTGGAGTCATCTGTAGGTTCTGGGATGGATGCTTCATCATCATCAGAAACCAAGACAACACTTAGCTTTTCACTTTTTTCTTGCTCCAAGCTCAGTTTTTGGACTTCACGATTCCTCCTATCTATAGATAGAGAAACTTTGGACACTACAAGACCTTTGTGCATGCACAGGAAACTGTTCAAGGAATCATAAAATGGCAAGGCACGTTGACCGCTCACAGAAGAGTTATTTCCACAAACAATTGCCTTGTATCCTCGCCGAAGCTCCTTGGCACGCAAGCGACACTGCTTCATATCCCGGTCATAGCCATATTCTCGCATCCTATCAGAGATCCACTCATACTGTGCCTCATTGCGAAAGTTGGTGGCCAGTGAGACTTGGACTTGGTCATCACCCCAGATCTCAATGAAGGTCCGTATTTCTTCATCAGGCCAATATGGATTACGATGGCGAATACTCTTCCTAGGAGCAAATGACTGGATGTTCATATTCTCCCCTGGCAATTGCTGCTGATCACAAAACAATGATTTAATCTCAACAGACGATAGACTTTTCCTTGATGTTAAGTATTTTGCCCGGAGGTGGTTCAGTTCTTGCAAGTTATTCTGCAGACTTTTTAAGAAATCATAGTCACCAGCCATTCTCTTCTTTATGTCCTTGCTGTCAAAAGGGAAGCCAAACATTAACATTCTACAAATACAACAAATTTTACCAATTATTCTGGGGTTCCTTGTTTGGTAGGCCCAATTGTATAAACACAATACTACTTTATATGTTTAATATGCTGCTTTCAAAGAAATGCACACTCAGAATTTGTTTTTAAAGTATACACATCACATTTAATAGAAGAATAATTTTGTGCTCTATGGAGTTAGCTTCTATAGCGTATTCATTACTTGAATCCAAAGAGAATTACACACATTAAAAATATACAATTCAACAGTTGGGAGTAACTATGAATAAGCCTGAAGCCCTTTCCTGAACTGAAAGAGAAATACAGTAATGCAATTTGACTTTATAAGAGAATTGTATTCACATAGTATTTATCCTTGATATTGTATATAATTCAAAAGTTATTCTTAAATCAAGTAATTCTTCCAAGTCAATATGCTTAGGACTGCCATTGCAATCACTGCAATTTTATCTTCATGTAAATGTTTGAGTTCAGTTATTAGATTCAGCTGTTATTAGATCCACCACATGACCATACCATTGTCTTCACCCAGCCTTGCCTGCAGGTATCTGAATTTTAAAAGGACATAAATTAATGTAGATAATTAACAAGATAATAAACCCTGAAAAAACAACTGCCTCAAAACACAACTAATTAAATGCCTGCATGTGAGGCTTGATATAATATAAACAATCCACAAGTAATTCTACATTTTAAAAGTTTGAGCTGGGGACTCAAATTTTCCATCCATACATTAAAAAAAGAATTAGGCCTGTTGTATCAAATTATTTTGCTCTCTTTGGCATGATGGTGTGTATGAATATGAAACAGATAGACAGACAGAAAGCAGATGCATACACAAAAAAACCTGCTTTTGTCCAATATGCTTTTCTATAAACTGGTGCTCCCCAGTTATTTTCCCATTACCTAGTCAAAGGGACTATGTTGAATGGAGCTGACACAAGCTTCAGCAAGCTAGTCTACAATTATTTGAGTTCCCTTGGTAACCCTGGTTACTTCCATGCTGGTTCCCACCAATCTAGATGGGAATTTCCTTAAGTAGAAGTTGGGAGGTTTGCAAATCGTGCATGGCAAAAATCCAAAAAGCAAAGGGATCAGGAACCCAAATCTCTTCCTTTCAAAGCCCTGCTTCTGAAGGAGATGCAGAGGATGGCAGGCACTCTTGATAAAACCACCCAGCCTATAACCGTTAGCTTCCCAGGCTGGGTCCGTGATGACAAAGCCTTTTCCTCTGTCCCACGGGGCCATTAAATCTGGGGTTCCTGAGCGTGTTTGGAAAATATATTTTAGAAACATCAACTCTGGGGTACACCCGCCCTCTCCCCAATCCCCTCCATTCCCAGCAAGTCCTCCTGGTGATTCTCTCCCGCACTTTCGGAGCCAATCCTGGCTGCTCTCCCAAAGCTATGAAAGCCAGGGCGCGTTTCCACGAACCACCCGAACCTCCACCCCGGCTCTCCCTAAAAGCTACTGCGCTCCCCCTTCTTTACGGTCGCACACTTACTTCCAAGTTCCCGGCTCGCTCGTTGGCAAGCAAGCCTGCTGCGATTGGACCTGCGGCAGGACAAGCACGTCATCGACCCAATCGGAGCCTCCTTCCAAAAGGCAGGACAAAAGCAGAGGAAGAAGGCGGGGCGCCAACCCTCCATCATCAGGAAGGTGGGGAAAGGCAAAAAGTCAAACTGCTGACGGACAGGCGGGCCTTCGAATCAAAGGACGGAGAACGAGGAAGGGAGGCGGGGGGGGCACTTACAAAAGATAAAATTGCGAAAGAAAATAGGCAGGTCGGGCTCAGGTGACAGAAGGGTAAATCCTCTGTCGCTGCAAGCGGGTCTCCCGAGATGGAGGGTTTTTAAGGCTTGCAGTGGTTATTGCAAAAAAAGGAAAATAAAGTGCAACAGAAAGCGAGGTTCAAACAGATAACAGAAAGCTTCCCTCCTCTCTCTCTCTCTCTCTGTCTCTCTCTTTTACTTTGCAAAGTTAGGCATTCCTGGCGGAGAAACAGAAATTCCCGCGGAAAGGGAGCTGAACTTTAAAGGTCTTCAAGCGGGCAGCGCTCGCGTTAAATCCACCATACATTGCAATGTCCTACCTGTCAAAGAATACTTCAGCTTCAACCACAACAATACAAGAGCAAACAATAGATACAAACTCAAGGTTAATCGCACCAAACTTGATTGCAGAAAATACGACTTCAGTAACAGAGTGGTCAATATCTGAAATCCTCTACCGGACTCTGTGGTTTCTTCCCCAAACCCAAAAAACTTTAACCTTAGACTGTTTACTATTGACCTCACCCCTTTCCTAAGAGGTCTGTAGTGGGCGTGCATAAGCACCCCTGTCCCTGTTTCTGTGCCTACCATCCCTGTTTCTTTTATTTTTTAAAAAATTTCTTATATGTATCCATGTATTCATAACTATGTTTTTACTTATACCTATTATCTTGTAAGCAATTGACATACTAAATAAATAAATAAACCTTGACCCATGTGACCGCCAGACCTCCGGCCACTTTAAGGGAGTGGCCAAGCGCGAAGGTCCACTTGCAGTTGTCCCCGGAATGCTGGTCTGGTCTGGATTGCTTGTCCCATCCTCTTGTCACTCCAGCGACATGAGGTTGCCCCTTATTCCCCCTTCTTCTCTGGGATAAAATGTCAGACTTGGATATCAGTTAACTCCTGGTTTGCTTAAGCAGGGTTTACTCAAGCCACAGTGCCCATGTTGTGACCATTATATAGAACAGAACAGAATAGAATAGAATAACAGAGTTGGAAGGGTCTTCTAGTCCAACCCCCTTCCTAGGCAGGAAATCCTATACCACTTCAGACAAATGGTTATCCAATCTCTTCTTAAAAACTTCCAGTGTTGGAGCATTCACAACTTCTGGTGGCAAGTTGTTCCACTGATTAATTGTTCTCACTGTCAGGAAATTTCTCCTGAGTTCTAAGCTGTTTCTCTCCTTGATTGGATTCCATCCATTGCTCCTTGTCCTGCCCTCAGGTGCTTTGGAGAATAGCTTGACTCCCCCTTCTCCATTTCTTGAGTGGGTTTTGCACAGAAGAGTCAAGCTGATACAAAATCCCTCTCCCTCTCCCTCTCCTTCCCTCCCTCCCCTTCTCTCTCTGTGGATGTTTGTCAATCCCAACAGCTTTTAAGATATGTGAACTGCAACACTCTGAATTCCCCAGCCAGATGTTGAGAAACACTGATCCAGGTACACTAAAAGGAATTAACAGATTTGGGCTTGGAGCAAGAGGGGAAAAAAAAGAAATCTAAGGTTTCTTTGAGTATATTGGGCTTCTGTTTTAAGCCAAAAAAGATTTTTGTGTGATCTCAGCCTCTTGTCATTTATGTGAACACAACCATATTCTTTAGAAGGGGTACTGCAAATAAAGATGCCCCTTTCCTTTTTCCCTTCCTAGTTTAATACAAATGTGCACTCAAAAAATTAAAAATGACCTGGAGTACCACTTAATGAAAGAAAAAGGAGAGGACCAGGCAAATAAAGATTGACTGTAGTTTATGGGCTTTTCCAGATTTTTAATTTTAAATATCTTTTCCTTCATCTTCTCAGTACAATATATCTTTTTAGTGGAGAGCCAGTTTGCTAGAAACTGGAAGAATGAATTCTAGTCCTGCCTAAGACTCAAAGACATCTGGTGACATCTGGAGAGCCCCCAGCTAAGATTTTGCAGGGCTCAGAGAGCCCCCAATAGCCTCAAAAAGAGAAGCAGCAAGGGAAAGTTCTTAATAGGCTTAACTGAACTTCTGGGCATTCAGCCAAGAGCATTTCACACCTCATAAAAGTGTTGCAAGCTAGTTAAACAATCTACTCAGCACTTGCCTCTGAGGGGATTAATTCCCAAATAATAAGAATCATGTAACTCACCAGAAACTCCACTAAGACTCTAAGATCCCTCTCATAGCCACTGCTATTAAGCCTGGTTTTATTGAGTCTTTTATTTAAGTATTAACTGCACAAAATAATAAACAAGTTTTTCGTATATATCTTTTTTTTAGGTAATTAGGGCAGAGAAACAGTGTCAAGTTGGCCACACCCACCCAATCACATGACCACCTCGCCATGCCCACCCAGCCAGTCATTAGGGCAGAGAGCCCCTTGCTAAAAAATTGGAAGCTCACCCCTGGGAGGAGGCAATGGCAAACAACTTCTGAAATCTTGCCAAGAAAACTGCAGCAACTTTTCAGGCACTGCTAAACGGAAGGGGAAAAAAAAGATATTTCAATACAATGATACATTATTACATTACCATTCATTGACCCTCAGTCCTTGAGTTAGCAGAGAATTATGCAGACATAAATTGCCCCGCTCTGGGTTCATTCTAGTGCCATATCACTGCTGCCCTTAACATCTTTAATGGAGAATAAGGGAAGGATAGTATATGATATATACTTCTAGTGGTGTTTCCCTTCCATAAGGTGAAAGGGAAAAACAACCACTGATTGTTGTCTTTAATTGGTCAGACAAATGTTACAACTGGCGAAAGATACAGATGATGATTACCATTTTTAGCAATAAAGTATTTTTAATTAAGGAATATACATTTTCTAAGACATAATGCTATTGCATATTTAATAGAGTACAGTATAACATAAACATAAACATAAACATTTATATACTCTAGAAAACAAAAAATTTGTGTGATTCACTTTATTTCAATATCTATTGCAAGAATCTGGAACTGAATCTGCAATATCTCTGAGGTATGCTTATATTTCAATTGACTTAGCAAGGAAACTTAATAATTGCATTTTGAGATGTTGACAGGTTATGAGAGGCATGGTTTTTTGGCATTTGTTGTATCTTTAAGTCTCCATTCTGATCCATGAGAACCTGATGCATGGCCTCTTCTTTTGGCTGTTATCAGAAGCCCCTGTAAAAGGGTTTTGTTTGGTGACAGGAGACTTCTGGTGTCTTCAGAATATTTCATCAAACTTTTACATATAAAAACTAGTGTGTTTGCTAATGCTTAGGTCACATGGGATCTGTAAGTAATGAAGCATCTATTGCAAAGCAAAGGTTGGCTGGTCAGAGGCTGACAGCAGAGTCAGACAGTGAGGGGATTGGGGGGGAACCTGAGCCAGTCCTGGAGGCTGAGGAAGACTCGGATGAGGGATCTGCATCAGAGGCAGAGATGGGACCAGGGCAGGCTGGCAGTCATCAGCTGTCTTTGGGCTTGGACAGCTGTGAGGTGAGGGAGCAGCTGGAACCGGTTCCCAGCCTGCACATGCACAGAGCTGCCAAAAGGAAAGAACAATTACGAACTCAGGGTTGACGTGGGAGTAAGGCCACAGGTGGACAATGAATAGCCCCTTCCATAAGGATTAAAAGAGAATCAAAAGAGGAGGGGGCTTTTGTAGGAAACAATTTGTTCGTTCAATCATTGTGAAGATCTGTTTGTGTATCCTAGAGACTCTGTGCTAAGCCCTTCCTGTAAGCACTGTGTTTGGAAATATTTACCAGGCAGCTTTCCAGATAAGGTTTGAGCTCCTAATTATACCCTTGAAAGACTGTTTGCCAGGCCATTGGCTGAGTGTGAATGCAAGAAATTCACATTCATTTAATAAAAGGTGTTTGGTCAGGACAAAGAGTCTGCTTAGTGCTTTTTGGAGAAGCCTAGGACAGAACAGGTATATTAAATATGCTGTGCAAACAGTAGTAAGAAATAAAATATATTTTAAAATATAATCTTAATATTTAAGCCTTTTGTGGGCCATTGCACCACAAATGTTCAGAGAATTCACAGATATGTGATGTAATTATCCATGTTGTTGAATTCATCATTTCCTTTTTAAATGTTATTAGCAATAGTATGTTGAATGTGGGTGCCCAAATGCATTAACAATCCTTGACTCCATTGGTAGTAATGAGTGGCATGAGGCTTCAATTGCTTGTGAATATCTGGAAGTTTAATTTTATTTGTATTAATGCTATTGTAGTAATGGAGTGGCACAGTGGTTGGATGCAGTATTGCAGGCTAATTCTGCTGATTAATAGAGTTTGATCTTCACCGGCTCAAGGTTGGCTCAGCCTTCCCTCCTTCCAAGGTAGGTAAAATGAGGACTCAGATTATTGGAGGCAATATGTTGACTCTGTAAACCACTGAGAGAGGGCTGTAAAGCACTGTGAAATTGTATATAAGTCTAATGGTTATTGCTATTGCTATTATTCAGTATTGCTGGTGTTAGGCCATTAAGTCCATGTGTGTAAATTGTATAAGCTGGAACTACAGTATATGTAACTTGGGCTAAAGATATGTGCACATTTCCCCATTGTTAAAGATTTCCGGCTGCAAATGTTTATCTCTAGCAAGAAGGGATGAAAATCTATGAGATATTTGAGGAAGGGTGGAAAACAGATAAATGGATATCTTCCAATTTCCGCTTATAGAGTAATAGTTTGCATATATATTCATATTTGGAGATGAATATATTCATATTCGGAGAAGCAAAACTTAATTGATTAAAAAAGATAAATAGATTAAAAAATCTTCCCTATTTATTAGGCAGAATGTTTTTAAAAATGAATGCAATGTTTATAAAAATGTTAAGAAGCTCACATAAAATAATACTTCTTT